TCATTGTTGCACTATATGCTAACTTGGATGTAAATTTTAAAAAACAAATAAATAAATAAAATAAGAAAAGCAAAGCAAAGCAAAGAAAAGAAAAGGTCAGGCCAGCAATCATCCAATAGTATCCAAGTAATCCAATTACAAGTAATAAAAAGATACTAGCATAGAATTGATACAATGATCCTATAAGAAAAGTGGAGAAAAACAGCAGCAAATCCATTAACAAGGCAAAACACTACCAGAAAAAAGGTCTGGTCAAAAAATTGTGACCAAATATTATCTGTATGTTAGTGGAACCAGTGGTGTAATAAAGCCAGCTTAAATCAGTTCATGGGATGCAACTGTTAGATGTTAAAGAATTTTTGTGAACTGGTTTTTAAACACAGCCATTATTAACCTATATGAAGTTACACTTCAATAAATTACATTTATAAATAAAGGCAATAAAGACTCAAACTCATCACTTCCATAATTATTTTGTCATATTTTACTATCATCTATGAGCTTAGGGTTATTTATGTCTATTGGTGGAAATTCTACATAATGGAGGACTTCCGGTTCTGCCAGCATGAAATAGCCCCATTCTTTCTCCCAGATTCTCCCTCTTACAAAGGAAAAAACCCGTGAACCGTACGCAATAAACAAACATAGGAAGATTCTGATAGGTGCAAAGAAGGCAGGCCACCTGGGGGGCATTCAGGGCTTGAGGAATGGCATGTCAGGGGATTCTCTGAGTCTCCTTATTGCTTCCTGTCTATGCTGCACAAGATGCTTTAGAATCTTCTAACCCAGAATTTCCAGCAGGCAGAGACAAAAAATACTCCAAGAAAAGCCTGCTCTCCCTAGCTGAAGGATGTGAAAAGGGTCTAGAGTTGCTGGGCAAATATTAGACTATCTTTAGGAACGCAGGCGGGGGAAGCAAGCCACTGGCAGTGTGGGTGTGCAGTGGGGTTCATGGGCATCAGCGAGGACAGACCTTCAGAGCACACAGAGCACAGGAAGCTTGCAAAACCATGGGCTCGGCAGAAGTCCAGCCTTAGCCTGATTCGATGGGACAGGCTGGAGTATAAATGGCACCACGGAGTTGTCCCATCCTGTCATTCAATCACGGGCAGAAAGCATAACCTCAGGCATTTCCTGGGACAGTAACTCCCATGAGTCCAGGACAATTCCCCAGAAGTTCAGCTGTGAGTTGATATCAGTCAACACTGACAGTAGCTACGAGATGAGTATACAGGTTTGGTAAAGGGATCAGGGTAGGGTGTTAACAGCAGTTGCTGAGCGGCTGACTAAAGAAGTTAGAAAAAAAAAATTAAACTAAAAGAAAGGAGAAAAAATAAATTATTAAAGGAAAAGTAGAAAAGCAATCAGTTAGAAAACAGAAAAAGTAGTAACTAATAAATCCAAAATCTGGGCTCTGAAAAAAAACGTTCAGAGGTTGTTAAACATTACTCTGGCAGTATTAGCCAATGCAATTTGACAAGGGAAAGGAATTCGAGAAATGAAAATTTGAAAGAAACAGATAAAACTATGTACAGGTGATACACGTGTTTGATTGACTCTTTTAATG